CCACGGGGACAGTTCTATCTTTGATGGGAGTGTGGGATAGTTCCCACCTAATGGTTTTTTTACTTTGTGAAATAAGCCTTTTGAAAATGTGAGTGAGATGGTTGTGGGATCAAGGATCTTAGGGTAGTGAGGACTGAAAATAGCTGTTTATTGTTAGTGAGAGAAAACCAAAGAAGTGGCTTGATAGCAGTGAGTGTGGGTTTTAATTTTTTTTTCTCTGATAAATGATACTGAAAGTCATGGAATTGAATGCAGGTGCCCCGGGGGGAAAAGGAGAAGAGGAAAAGATATTGGAACAAAGAAAGTAGACGAGGACTTCAGAAAGTTGAACTGCTAGACTCTGGGCAGAGTGATGGGGGTTTGTCTGAAGCCAAGGCAAAAATATATTAAAGAGAGAGGGAAGAATGATCAAATTTGGCAAATAATAAGGTAAGAATTAAAACCTTTTTTATTTCATAGTAAAGATGTACATTTAGCAGTCTGAAACAAATAGGAGGTTAAAATGTGGAGACACGTGGACTGTGAATAAGAGTGAGGGCAATAGTTTGAGAGTTTGTTTGAAAATGAATTGTAAGTGCTGATGGGAGGAGGGAAGTGATTGATAAGGTTTGAGAGAGGCAATGCAAGAACATTTCTATTAACCTGGCATTCCATGTTGCTCACCTTTCCAATACGATCGCTGAAGACAAATGGGTGCACAAACAAATGTGGTAAAGAAAGCTGATGGTGCCCAGCTATCAAAAGATATAGCGTCTGGGGTCATAAAGGCTTGAAGATAAACAAACAGCGAAGCCCACATGGAAGAAGCACACCAGCCTGTGTGATCACGAGGTGTTGATGGGATCAGGTATCAGGCATCAAAGAACAAGAAAATCCTATCATTATGAATGAGGGGGAGTGTGGAGTGTGGACCCAAAGCCCATCTGTAGGCAACTGGACATCCCCTTACAGAAGGGTCTCGGGAGGAGACGAGCCAGTTAGGGTGCAGTGTAACACCAATGAAACATACAACTTTCCTCTAGTTCTTAAATGCTTCCTCCCCACCACTATCATGACCCCAATCCTACTTTACAAATGCAGCTAGACCAGAGGATATACACTGGTACAGGTAGGAACTGGAAACACAGGGAATCCAGGACAGATTAACCTTTCAAGACCAGTGCTGAGAGTCGCAATACTGGGTGGGTGGTGGGAAAGTGGGGTAGAAAGGGGGAACCGATTACAAGGATCTACATATAACCCCCTTCCTGGGGAACAGTCAACAGATAAGTGTGTGAAGGGAGACATTGGTCATTAGCTTTTGGTAGTGGTATTTTACGAAGGTCTATTGTGTTTGGTAGCGTTAAAATGAATCCTTCTTGACAGAAACTATGAGAGGACTTCAAAATGTTTGTGCTAAAAAGGAATTAAAAGATAATGTAACCTTTCCACAAATGTTTTTTAAACCATTTTATTAGCACTTATGTAAAATGAGGAGCTGATATCAAGGGCTCAAGTAGAAAGCAAATGTTTTGAGAATGACGATGGCAACAAATGTACAAATGTGCTTGACACAATTTATGTATGTATTGATTGTGATAAGAGTTATACGACCTCCCCTCCCCCAAAATGATTTAATTTAAAAAAGTGTAGGCGTAGAGCTGAACCTGTCAATCAGGTCAGGTCATAGCCTGATGCTGTCTCCTTGGGGGTGTGGACATCTTAAGAGGAGGACTCTGGGATGCTCCCAACCCCACCCCCCTGCCACTAACCTAAGAGCTGCTGGAGCCCTACCATGTTTCCACTGACCTTGGATCTACAGGACTCTGCACCCACCGGCCTATGGTCTTCTGCATTGTGCATCAGTGCATGTGGTTGCATGAGTCTGAAGAGGGACTTACAGACTGGTATTGGACTTAGGGGCTTGAGTTAGACTGGACTGAGATGCTTTCTTGATATATAATTACTTCTTGATATAAAGCTCTTATACATATAAAAAATGTTTTGAGAAAGGGCAGAAATGAAGAGATGGTATTCAGAGCATATATGCAGCTAAGCCTTAAAGTGTCAAAAAACCGCATTTAGGAAAATACAGAGAATGATAGATTCAGAGACAACGATTATCATTATGATACCTGACTATCAGTATATGTGATTTGTTAAGACATCAGTAAATTTGCTTCTCAAGGGAAAGGTCCACCAGAAACTTGTGATAAAATTTAAGACAAAAAAATGCACCTTTCATAAATGGTACCTGTAGAATTTCATGAAACTGTTATACTACAAAGAAATCAAATTGCATTCAAGAAAGATTTTGAGAGCCAAAATGTGTATACTGTGGGTTACGTGTTAGCCTGCTAACCACAAGATGGGCAGTTGAAACCCACTAGCTACTCTGTTGAAGAAAGGGGGTGCTACATGTTCTCACACCGATTCATAGCTTCAACTCTATAAAGGGGTCCAGTGAGTCAAATTGACTCTGATCGTGGGTTTGGTTTGGGTTTGCCACACATGTGAAACGCTTTAAATCTCTCAGACTACCTGTCCTAGGCCAGTGGCTGGTGAGGAGAGCCTCTTCCCCAACCTCCCCCCCCACCTCCAATGTTAATGTTTTTAGGGACGAGGCATAAAAGCTCTGAGTTAGAACCTAAAATATAGTTATAAATGGTAGTTATTTCCCTTAGACGTTTACTCAAAGTGTAACAAAGCCAGTATCACCTAAAATAGCAATTCATTATGGTGTTTTACATTTGAAAAGTACAATATTCTAGCAACAATTTTAATTAAATCGGCTTTTAGAACTGAGAATCAGCCCCCATTTATAGTTTTCAGTAGGAAAAAGTACAATCTTCATTCTTGGCTTACACAAATGAAATGTGGAAGCTATTTTGGTTAAATATTTTGTATACCCATGCATTACAGATTCTTGAAAGTATAAATGAACTTAGTTATGTTTGGGACATAAGAATGATCTTTTGAGGTAGTTGGGCTAGAGGAAAACCATCCGTACTAGAGCAATAGACACATGCACCTTTGATCTGAAGGATAGCAGGATCTTTTAATAGTTAAATAGATAAAATTACACTTTAGAGTTGTGGACATTTACTGTCGTTCTACGGCATGCTGGATGCCTGAATGGTCTTTTGCTTTAGAAGGAACAGGTGGAGTTCTTTTCTGAGGCAAGTCTTGAATAAATCTTGTAAAGTAGACAGTAGCCTCTGGAAAACAAGACACTGAAACCCTGGAATGGACCTCCTCTCCCAGTGTGCTTGACAAAGCACAGCTGCATTTGGAGTTGGGTGCCTTCTGTAGGACCTCGGTTTGGGGTTTTGGGAGAATTTTCTTCTAGACACATTGTTCATTGATAGGCTTTTTACCTTTAGGTGCTTGTTGGTTGCCAAGTTATTAGTTTTCTTGTATGAAGGACTATGTTTGTATCATATTTAAAAATATATCTAGATCCAAATGTGTACATTATGGATTCAGTCATTACTACATAAAAGCCTTTTGCGTCTTTGAAAATAAATGATTTATGTGTATGTATTTTGAAATTTAATTTTTTCAACATCTTTTTAAAAATGGACTGCATGTTCACTTTGGTTTTGTTAAAGAAGAATAGAAAAATAATCATGTCATTCATGTTTTCACAAGAACTGTGCTGGCATATAACATTGTTACCACTACCATTGTCTATGTCAAGTTTTTTGCCTGGAGATTTTTTTCATGAGATTCTCGGAATTGCCATCCTGTCTTTGGTATTCTAAAATTCTGGCTCTTCAGTGAAGGTAAAATATTTGCATTTGGAATAGTGTCCTCCTACCACATTCTTTTGCCTTATCATTTTCTAAATATACAGTTCACAGTACAACCAAATCAGAATATTGTGTTGCTAATATAATCTACCTGGGTTTAGCCATTGTACAATCCAAGTTCATTTCTGTGCTTATACGTGTATATGTATTTGTCATCTGTTCAACAATGCCAATTTTTATAAGGATTAGTATCTACAATCACGCTCCCATCCCCTTGCACTCTCCCCTGTTGCTTTCTTTCCTCAGTGCCCTGTCCCTCCCTCATGCCTTCCTGAAATCATGCATATTAAATCAGGATAGCAGAATCACCACAGTGTCATTAATCCTTAACTTTCAGAAAGGAATATTACTTAATGTATACATTGCCACTGTGGTTACATCCCAGTTCATGGATTTCACTTGCTCATTAGTCTCTCAAGAAGAAACAAAATAGATTTTTGCATAGCATCCTGCTGCAATAAATCTCCATCTACTTTTCTGTCTGTTTAGTATATTAAAAAACATCAAAGAACTATATGCAGTATGCATACTAATTTTTTTATACCCATTCCTTGAATTTCTTTGAGCCATCCTGTACATTAGTGGAGCACAATATTCTGATATTTTCTTTGAAGAAAAATTAAAAGTACTAACAGAACTAGCCTCTCATTGGTAATTTTAAAAACTTTTAATGGCTTTCTAATCTCATAAAGAATAAGTGCAGAATCTGAACTCTTTCTTAACCTCTTTCAAAGGTTCATATTTCTTCCAGATTGACAAGGTCACTTTTTAGTTCCTTAACGAAATATCAGCTTTAGCTCCCAAATAGACAGTGGTTAAATATTTCACACTCGGTAGCCAGACTTGTGATACATAAACCCTAAAGTAGACCTCAGGTTTATTACACTACCTTATTGCAGAATACATTTTCTTGTGTGTGACTTTGAAATACAGTTGTGTTTTGTTTCATGTCTTTCTTTATTAGGTTCTTTTATTCTGTAGTTTAATATACTCCTTAATTAGATAACAAATCCTTGTTTAGTTTGACTGTCAAAGAAATAGCTTATGTAGAGATTGTTTTCTGTTTGAAGGATTCAAGAATTAAAGGTAGACTTTTTTGTTTTGTTTTTGAGAGCGAGAGAGAGATTTCATATGAATAAAGGACAATGTGTTTGTTTCCAGTGTTTTCCCATTTTATGTTTAACCTAAATTATTTGGCTTTTCTTTCAGAGTTCTCTGGGGTGCTGCACCAGTGCCATATTTTGGCATCTGAAATGGTCCATTTCATTCACCAGATGCAGTACTATATTACATTTGAGGTATAGTTTAATCCTCTTGCTAATTTTAGTTTAATTCATGTCTTAAGAGTATGTTTCCTGAAGGCATTGTTTTCTATTAGAAGAAACATGAACTTCTTCACATGTTTTGAATGGTTGTTTCTTAGGTGCTTGAATGTTCGTGGGATGAGCTGTGGAACAAGGTGCAGCGGGCTCGGGATTTGGATCACATTATTGCAGCGCACGAGGTTTTCTTAGACACCATCATTTCTCGATGTCTGCTGGACAGTGACTCCAGAGTAAGGCTCTTATTTGATCTGCAGCTAAGGAAGCAACAACCTCCTTCTTTTCCTGGTTTTCTGTCAAATGGAAATCACTTGGTGTAATAATGTCAGTAATAATTAAAACAATATTTGGACAACACAAAAGTGGGTGAAGGGAGACGTTGGACAGGGCACGAAATATAACAAAATCACAATTTATAAATTATCAAGGGTTCATGAGGGAGTAGGGAGTGGGGCGGGAGGGAAAAAATGAGGACCTGATGCCGGGGGCTTAAGTGGAGAGCAAATGTTTTGAGAATGATGAGGGCAATGAATGTACAAATGTGTTTTACGCAATTGATGTATGTATGGATTGTGATAAGAGTGGTATGAGCCCCTAATAAAATGATTAAAAAAAACAAACACTATTATTACAAGTCTGACACTCAAGGCACATTGCTTCCGAACAGAATTGGGAGAAGAGTGCTGAAACATGGAGGTGGTGCTCTCAAATATCTAGAATAGGTGAAAAATTGGAACAATACAATACTTATCACCTAGGAATAAGAATTAGACTCTTGTTAATGTTCATAATAAAAAAACATATAGTCTCTCAAAAAAATTTTTTTTAAACTCTCTTATTTGACAGACCAGTATGTCATCTGTGCAAGTTTTGCATTGGTCAAAGGTAGTGTCTGAACAAAATAGACCAAGCAAAGCTCATTGAGAACAAAACAAATTTTAACATGTATGAAAATCCAGGTAAATAATATGAAGAAAAGTAGGATTTATAATTTTATTTTTTTAATCTTTGTTATTTTTTCATTTAGTTGATATCTGACTACATGAAGGTACAATGTTTAGTTAGAAAATAAAATGTTTGGTTAGATAAATCCTAAGCTGTCCCTTGTTCTCAAACATTTTGTGAACATTTTTCCCATTAGGGACCTCTGTTCTCTGAATGTTGCATGTGGGAAATTGTCCTGAGCTTGAATTTTATTCAAAGATCTGCGACCAAAAAGAATGTATTGAATGTATTGTTTTCAATTGAAATTACTGTTATTAGGTAGGATGCAAAATTCAACTTTATTTCTGAAGTTGGATTTGAGACTTCCAAGAAAGGTCAGAGCTTATGAAATACAGATAGATAGATAGATAGATAGATAGATAGATAGATAGATAGATAGATAGATATTTGTAAGGAGTTTAAATTCTTTTGATGGGGTGCTGGGGAAATCTCATTTTTGTAAATGTAATAAGGATATTTCTTGAAAAAATAACATACATACAACTTTTACAAAGGACCGTGTACTGACTAAATACCATTTAAAAGAAAATACATTTTCAAATGTGTGCTGCCAAATCTATCTAGTCTTTTAAAAAGGTAAAGGTAGGAGCCCTGGCTGCACTGTTGGGTAAATGTTGGCTTGCTAACCACAAGGTCGGTGGTTCAAACTTACCATCCACTCCACGGGCGAAAGCTGAGTTCCTGTGCTTACACAGTGATTCACAGCCTCAGAAACACTATGTAGAGTAACTGTGAGTTGGGGTCAACTTGTTGGCAATGGATTTTAGGGTTTGGGTAAAAAAAAAATTACATTTCTTTCATTATGTGACTGGTTTTCAAGTTAAGCTTTCTATTCTATAATAAATTTACAATAGCTAAAAAACAGAAATAAACAAGAAAGAAAGAAAGAAAATGAAAGGCCATGCTTGCAGAGGTCTGCTTCAGAGTTCACGCTCAGTCTGTTCAAGGATACATTCATTCATAGAAGAAACATTAATTTCGGACTTTCCTTTTTCTATGTTTGATACTCTACATTGGTCAGCCGTGGCTGAGAGAACAGTTATTTTGATATGGTGAATTTCATTACTGAAGAGTTATCAGTTAAAGAAAAATATTGCTCAGATAGAAGATGCTTCTACATGGAATATATATATTTTATAAACATATTTAAATGTACAATAAAGTACGTTGAATGTAATTAATAATTATTGTTGCAAACAGCTGAATATTACAAGCAGCATTACTTAATCAGATTCTTATATTAGTTGCCAAATTAATTCCATGTTGTTTTTATTACATTGTAATTTGAAGACCTATTTTGTTCAAGTGTAAACAAAAGAACAAATTGTTCATTTTGCAGTATTTGTGTTCTGTCTTGCAAATCTCAGGCCCCTTATTACTGTTACTAAATCTAGTCTTTGTCACACTGAGATTACACAAAATTTCAGAAATTCTGTGAATTCTCTGGCAGCTTATACATTTCTATATTCAATCGATATATGTGAGCATCTTCATTATGTTATTGTAAATGTTGATATAGTAATGATCAGGACATTATTCCTAGACTTGAGGAATTAACTATCGTGAATATATTAAAGTTAGGTTTATCTGTGTACCTTCTAAAATGTTGTTGGTAGGTGCCTTTGAATCCGTTTTTGACTCATAGTATCCCCATGTGACAGGAGAACTGCCGATTGCCATTCACTCTCTCAATACCTGAGTGGGTTGGAAGTGCCAACCCTTTGGTTGAGAGCTGAGCGCTTTACATGTTCACTACAAGGGCTTCTTATGTACTAAAATAGCTATGGTTCCCACTAAAGCAGGTCTCTGGAACCAGATAAATGGAGATTTCAGTCCTCATTTAATAGCTTTTTGACCCCATATTTCCATGCATTAATAATTTAAGCATTGTTTGGTACTAAGCTATTGAAAGAAAGCATGAACACATTTAACTCCAGTGCAGAGCTCCTGGAAATTGTAAACTCATTTATGTAATACATATATGTGGAGTGCCTACTCTGGGAATGCTGTGGTGAACAAGACTTGGTCTTTGTCAAAATATGTAAAAAAAAAAAAATTGTATAATTTGTGTACATTGCTTATCAGAGTGGTAGGCACCTGATTGTTGCCCATGTTAGTAAACACGAAGCCCTGGCAGCGGCGTGAGTTACACTTGGCGCTACTGACTGCGTGGTCAGTTACCCAGCAGTTACTTACTCTGCAGACGCGGAGTCTGTTCCTGGAAGGTGTGCAGCCTCAGAGACCCAGGTGACAGGTGCAGTAGGGTTGCTGTGAAGAGGAATTGACTTGATGGCAGTGAGTTTGGGTGCTCTTTTGGTTACTGAACAATTTAAAATCATCTTTCATAGTGAGAAAGAGAATGTTTGTAAGTTTGTATCCTTATTTTAGAGAGGTACTAAGACTCTTTAGATTTTTTTTCTCCTCCTCAGCCTATCCCAAGTCTCTCTACCTTATCTTGATAGCTCAAATTAACTGGAATATTTCAATTGAAAAGAAAAATTAAGTACAGAGAGTATTATAGGTGAACTAACTGGTTAAGATTTGTCAGTTTATTAGAAACAATCTATTTAAAATGGAGTTTTCAACAGCTAGTATATAGTGGTTTATTTGGGCTTAGACATTTCTTAAAACAAAAATGTACTGTAATTCTTTACAGAAATTTTGATCATTATGCAGTAGCCTTTTGACAACATTTGGCAATTAAGTTCTGTATTTGCGTCATAAAAAAACAAATTTATGGTATTTATTATTTGCTTTTTAAATAAAGTGACAACATGTTTTCACCTCAAATTTTGTAAATGGCCTCCAAGAGTTGCTGATCTATTATGTTAAAACCCAAATTATCACAAACTGATGTCACCATGAAACATTTTTTATAACCGTCTTGTACCAGCAAGATTGCTTGCAGTAACTTATATTGCAGCCTTAACATAAAAGTCAGGAAATCATCACATGATTTAATTATTTTAGAGATTTTCTTAGTATATATTTATTTGACTACTGTCAAGAAACAGGTTAGAAGAAACAAATTTTAGCTAAAAGGCGAACATTAGAACATCTCTTTTTTTGCTTTCTGTTTAAAAAGAAGGCCCCTTTCAAAGAACAAGACAGCTTTAAAGGTGAGCTTGTTGTTGCCTAGTAGTACAAACAGCATTACTTCCTCAGATTCCTATATGAGTTGCCAGATCAGTTCCACATTGTGTTCATTGCAGTGTAATTTGAAAACCTGTTTTATACAAGTGAATTGTAGTAAATGAAAGAAGAACATGGATAGTCCATTTTGCAGTATTTTTGTTCTCTTAAATTGTCTTTTCCAAAAGTCATTTGGCAAATATTGATTTCTGATTTGTTTTACCTGAGCCAGATACTCAACTATTTACAATACTTTTATGGCGTAATTAAGTTTGAGCCCAAGTATTACTTTTCCTTCATAAAGGCAAGTATTTTTACAGATTAGAATATTTGTTCATCAGATGATAAGTAATGGTAAATGGCTCTGCAAATATTTTCATTAACTGTCAAATTAATCTCAACAATAGTTAGCTTATCTATTATCTGAATTATAGTAAAATTGTATCAAGTGTTATCAAAATGCTTACATTATTATGTCAAATGATTAGTCTAAAACATTATCAAGTTAGGTGGGTCTTTCTCTTGTGGTTTGTGTTTGGTGAGTTGGTTCAGATTCACAGGGACTTCGTATACAACAGAACGAAATACTTCCCAGTTCTACACCATCTTCGTAATCCCTGATAGTTTGTCCAGCCATCTGACTGAGGGACTTTTCTCATTGATCCTCTACTCCAGCCAGCCTGATGTCCTTGTCCAGGTAGCGTGCTCAAGGTAACGTGTTGTGAAATCTTGCCATCTTCTAGGGCACGTTCTAGCTAGCTGTCTTCTTCCAAACAAATTTCTTCTTCTGGCAGTTCATGGTATTTTCATTATTCTTCACCAACAATATAATTGAAAGGCATCAAAATTTCCCTGTCTTCCTTATTAATTTTTCAATTTTCAGCTTCATGTGAGGCGATTTGGTGGAGGTCAGGCACACCTTAGTCCGCAAAGCAACATTTCACATCCTACTGCTTTTAAAGAGGTATTGTGACATAGTAGACTTGGTCAATACAATCTATCATTTGATTTCTTTGCTGCTGCTTCCATGAGAGTTGATTATGGATCCAAGAAAAATAAAATCTTGAAAACTTCAACCATTTCTTCACTTATCCTGATGTTGCTTATTGATGCAGTTGTTGGGGTTTTTGTTTTCTTTATGTTGCAGTATAATCCATACTGAAAGTTGTAATCTTTGATCTTTATAAGCACGTGCTTCAAATACTGTTTGTTCTTAGCAAGCATGCTTGTGTCAATCGAGTAACACAGGTTGTTTGTGAGTCTTCCTCCAGTCTTGATACCGAATTCTTCTTCATAGACTCCAGCTTCTCTGTGTATTTGCTCAGCCTACAGATTGAATAAGTATGGTGAAAGGTTACAACCCCTGATGCACACTTTCCCGGATTTTAAACCACCCAATATCCTGTTCTGTTCCAGAGACTGCCTCTTGGTCTGTATATAGGTTCTGCGTGAGCACATTTTCAGTCGCCTGAGATTTCCATTATTTTGCTGTGTTATCCATAATTTGTTATGATCCACAGACTTGAATGCTTTTGCATAGCCAACAAAGCACAGGCCAACCTCTCTCTGGTTACTGTCTGCTTTCACTCAAGACTGATTTGACATTAGCAATAATAACCCTCATTCTACTCTTTCTAAATCGGCTATATTTCTGCCAGTTCCTTCTCAGTGCACTGCTGCAGCCGTTATTTTCAGCCAAATGTTACTTGTGTGTGATAATAACGATACTGTTTGAAAGTTTCTGCCTTCCTTTGGGTTACCTTTCCTAAATACGGGTGCAAACATGGGTTTCTTCCGGGAGGAAAGCTGAGATTCTATTTCCTTTGAGGTACTGCAACATGTGCTTATTTAAGTCAGTCATGGTTTGAGAGCCAGAGGACTCCAGTTTTCATTTAAATTTTTCTTTTAGACAAAAGTCCACAGGGAATATGTATTTGGGGTATGAATACTGTAGTTTATGTACATTAAACTACTTTAAAAGATTAAACTACTTGCTCAATATACACTAAACTACATATCGGCCTCATGAAAGAATCGCTTTTATAATCTAGTGATCAGGGAATGGACAACATCAGTATTAGTTGGCAAATTAATATAGGCTGAATTTCACGTGGTCACGCATTATATGAACTCTCACTGTGATTTTCTTAAGTATTATATTGTTTGCACTAACAGTATTGTATTAAAATAGCTCTAAGAAGTATTTGGAGTAGATCTTTAAGGAGAAAACATCTGTGCCCTTTTTCTCTGTGACCTCACCTGTTAATAGAGTGAGTATTGTTCACGGTGTCTCACAGATATACTTTGGGGAACATTGGATAAAGCTGATCCAAAAATTTGAAAGGATGGATGATAGTGGAAAATTTTGGTATTTGCTTTCTTTTGTATCATTCATATGTTAACTATCCCTATGCCAATATTCCTATTTAGTTATTTTAACTTTATACCAATTCTTGCCCAGTTGAACTAGTCTTTCCTCTATATTTGCTGTTATTGAAGAGATAGTTGTTTTTTCTTGGTCCTTTGCCCATAATGTGAATTCATGGATCAGCTTGTCAAATTTGAAGCGTTCTGTTGGGATTTTAGTTGCTGATTGAATGTATCAATAAAATGTGGAGCTTCCCAATTTGACGCAATTGAGTCTTTTTCCATCTATGAATTTAAAACCTTTTTAGTTATCTGGGTTTCTCTTATACTTCTCAGCAAAGTTATATAAGTTTCCTGAGAACCAGCTTGTAAGTCTTTTGTCAGATTATTACTATATTTTGAAATTTGATCATTCATCCATTTTCCTACTG